GGGGGGAGGAAACTGGCATGGAAAAACCTGGAGAAATTACCCTCAAATCAAAGGAAAAGGGAATGAAAGACCAAACTTGTAAACTTTTACCCAGACCCCAGAGGTGATAAGCATTAGTGGGCTACCACTTTATGCCACCATCTTGATTTCCTTGATCATGGAGAACCTTGGTTTACAGTCATCATGCCCCTATCTATCTAGCCCCAAACTATTTAGCCTCCCCCCCCCCCCCCCCCCATATAAGTCACCACCATATTACCAAGAGTCCTTTATGAGATGGGTTCTGACGTGGAAGGGTGGCTAGTGACCAATATGACACTTGGGTCTAGGACATTGATGCAACGAAATTAAGAAAAATAAGATATAAAGACTGATCAAATTGAGCTGATAGTCGCAGTATATGAGGCAACTTATGCAGCTGCAAATTGAAAGACTCAGAAAAAACTCTGAGTCTTGAAAGATATTTGAACCTGTGCCCTGGCAATTCAGTTAAGATCCTCTTTAATTGTAATATTAATCATTTCAAACTTTATTTTTCCATCAGAGAGAATACTGCAGTAAGGAGAAGAAAACCAGCTGCTCCAAAAGAGAAGATCCAGAGGTTTGTCTTTGCATTTCCTTAGAATTCTAATAAATTATACAGTAAACCATAAGTTTGACAAAAAAGTCTTAACAGAACTTCAATTCTGTCATCATCAGTGACAAGATGATTAATTATGAATAATGGTACTTTTTTAGCTTCGTTGTTTGTTATGCACATTTCAGACCATGTGATGTCACTCTTGAAAGCTGATTCTTTCATATGTAAATATTTTCATTGATACATTCGTCACGAAAGAGCAATTCTCAAGGGGATGTCATGTAATCTGAAATGGGCACTTTGCATACGAAGCTAAAAAGGTATATTCAATTAGAGAAAGTTAAGGTACAATATTATGATAAAACAATTGGGTTCATAATTATTGACTATTAATATTTATTTTGTATTATGTCCAGGAACGTGACTGGTGACCTGCACTTCAGGATACAGTACCTGTCCCAAGGAAGCAAAGTAGTAGTTGATGAGATGAAAGCCAGGTTAGCCCTATCGTGAATATCTCCTAGGATCAAATTAGAATTTAGTAGTTGATTTTTGTGGAGGGAGGAAAACCTGAGTACCCGAAAAAAAACCTCGAAAAAAACCCTCGAAGCACAGGAGAGAACCAACAAACAACTCATTTCAACTCATATACAACACAGAGCTTGTTGAGGCTCAAACCCAGATCACCTCTCTCACCACTACACCACCTATGCTTCCCACTAAATCGTTTTTGTTTGGTTTTCCAGAGACTTGTTGCCTTGTGATTCAGATGGACTGGCTGATCCTTACATCAGGGCCTATCTCCTGCCAGAAAGAGCTAAAAGTAGCAAGAGAAGGACTGATGTTGCTAAAAACACTTTGACTCCTGCCTTTGATGAAAGGTTAGTGCATATGGTAAAACATGGAATATATTACTTGCCTCTTGTGTGTTCTTAGCTTTTTAGTAAACACACTCACCTAAAGGCTCATAAATGTAATAGCCTTTTTGCAGGAAATAATCACATGAATGACTGTTACTGGATGGTAAAACAAATTGGGCTTCCTTCATTGAAATAATATTTGCTGGATTATTTCCAAAGCCTTTTCCAAAATACTTTATTTCTCTTATGAGATAATTTTGATTTCAAGATACGAAGCATTTTAAAGCTTGTTTGCCATCCACAGCCTTCCACAGGGGGCCTTGAGCTGAATTGATTGATTATAGTAGTGTTATATCAGTGCATGACTGTTGCAAAATGTCCTTGCTGTAAATCAACTTAATAATGAATTTATCATTATTAAATAATATTATTATATTATGATTTATTAATAGTATCATTATTAAATTTGCTGCAAATGGCCTAGTGTGAATCACCTTTATCTAGAAAAGGTGAAATGTAACAAATTCAACTGATGAACTTGTCGCCATCTATGTCTAATGTCCCTGAAAGAGACAGGACTGCCATTTTATTTGGTCATCCAATGATCTAAGCAATCTTATCTTTAATCCATTTATATTTGATGTGCTGTTTCAGGTTTGAGTGGATGATCCCACAGGACAAACTCAAGGATCATTCCTTGCAGATTTCTGTCAAGAATGATGTAGGGTTCTTCTCCAAGAGCAAGACCAACATGGGGGAGGTATGTAAAATTAATTATTATGATTCATTACCCTGCTATTACTTGTAGACGGCTCAGTGGAGTAGTGGGTAGTGCTTCTGACTTTTACTCCAAAGTGTGTTCGAGACCTAGAGCTGAGGGGTAAAATTTGCAAGGTGTAAAAACCTTAGCTCTCAACATTGGAGACGGTGGATCCTTTGTGGCTCAGATTCCCCAGATGGCAGTCCTGTCTCCAAATTGAAGGATGCAACAAACCAAAAAAGAATGACCACCCTCAGTACTAGCAATGATGTTGTTTTGGCATAGTATCCCAAAAAGGTTACTAGGGGGGGGGGGGGATGGATAATACTGGAACTACACCATTTAGTAAGTACTATTTCAGGGATATATGGTTTTCACTCTACCCTGCCCTCATCATAATATTAGTTAATATAATTTAAATTCCTAACTTAAGTTGTTTCTTGTATGTAACAGGTGATCCTTAACCTTGGTACAATAGACCTCGTCAAGCCAACATCTCAATGGTGAATAGCATTATAACATTCGATTAAATTAATTACAGACCACACGTTATTCTCTTGAGAATAAGATTCTTTGTCTTAGTTGTATCCATATTCAACATGTGTATTCTCATGGGCAACCATTAAACAAAGAAATAATACTCTAGGGAATTACATGTGGTCTGAAATGGGGAAAAATATGCCTAAAGTATGGCTGTTGCATGAAGATAATAAAACAATAAAACTAAACTAAACAATACCCTGCAAAACAAATACCCTACCCCGCAATACAATAAAGCTTGCCACACCAAGAAATACCCCAAGATCTTTTGAGCAAGAAAACCCTGTCACCCTCGAGTAACATCAAGGAAGTGTTCATGTAAGGAAATAAAGACTCATTTTGAATTTACTTGGTTTGTTTTAAGGCACATCCTGCGTGACCCCATGAAAGAGGACTAAATTGTGGAGAATAATCGGCAAAGGATTAAATGACCTGTATGTGGATAATGAATTGTCTGGTCCCTGGAAATAGTCAGTCTTTACAAAGAAGTTTTGGACCCATAACCTGTTTAAAGTGGAAGAATGGTAAAAAAAGTGGAGCTACACCCTGGCATCTCTCCTGAAGAAGATAAAACTGGATGATAATAATTAATATAATGCTATATTGTTTGTAATTAAAGTTAATGCAGCTCCAGTCCTTGCACACTCAATAGTTTGTTCCAATTGTAGTCGAGGTCAAAAGAGTATAAAATGGCATGAAGTACCCCACACGTGCAGGATGGATTTTGATGTTGTGTTCTAGATTCAAAGCCTCTCTGCAAAGATTGCAAAGGCATTCTGAGTTGTCAGCATTATGCCATCTGACTCTTTAGTTTGTATGCTAGAGAAGCTCTATTAGGTGGCCAACCTGTTGGCCAGTTGTCAAAGTCTCAAAATAGAGTTTTTGCATAAATCAATACAGTACCTCTCTCAGTCACCGGTGACCTCTATTAAGACCTTAACTTAACATTAAAATGATAATCTTGTGCAAAACCACTTCATACATCAACAAAATGATATTAGAATATTCTATAACAACAGACCCAAATTTATCATAACTTTAAATTCAACAGTATTTTGAAAACCATTCATGTTATTGTGTTGATTGAATAGTGTTAATGTAATCAAATAAAATGCACACTGAATTATTAATAGTTATATCAATTTCAGACTAAATATTAATATAAAATTCAGTTAGGATAGTAATTTATGTCTTAGTAAGGGTTGCGTATTGGTATGTTTTAGTAGATAATGTATTTTAATTCACCATCATAGTATTAGGCTACAGTTTGGAATTATAGTTGTTTACCAATAAGTATTGAACAGAACTTTAAATTAACTACTTCTTGCACTAGACTCAAATTTTAAAATAAATTCAAATATTCAAGATGAGTAAATGGTGTTGTAATTTTATTAATATTCTTATCTTTTTCCATGAATAACAGTACTTAAAGCCCTGGGCTGGGTTGTTCAAAGCTGGATTAGCGCTAATCCAGGATTAACTCTATAGGTTTTATTAAGAGTTAACCCAGGATTAGCACTAATCTAGTCTCCCCCACAGCCACTTTCAGTGTCGTCACGCAACGCTTTCTCCCCTGAGTAAAGAGAAAGCGTTGCGTGACGACACTGAAAGCGGCTGTGGGGGAGACTAGCACTAATCGGGCTTTGAACAACTGGGCCCTGGGGGACTCCCTTACGTAATAGGGCAGGAATGCTCTTTGGAAATAACGAAAATGATCCTTAATTAGGTCCTGCCCAGGTGGGCGTGTCAACTAATGATTTTATCTCTAGAAGGTGCCAATTCTAAAACAATTTATTCATTTTTTTATATGAACCAAAAAATAAATATCCTGATTTACATCTATCATCCCTGCTGTCAGTAGAGTGCAAACAATATAACCGTGAAACTTTAGTAATACTAAATAGCACAATTTCATGCAAATTCCATTGTTTTCTATTGTCTAATTAGAGTGCACGCACTAAAACCGTGAACATTAACTGAGTACTAAATTAGTACTATTTCATACAGAATCCTTTGTTTTCTATTGTTTAATTATCACTATTTAGTGCTAAAAATTAGTATTTGTTTCATGGATTTAGAGTGATTTTCATATGATCGTGAAAGAATAGGCAAACTAATAGTTAGTAGTAGACTCTAAACCAATGATTTTCTTTTGTTCTTTATCAACTATTACAAACTAAATGGTCTATTTTCTGTCACGGTCATATGAAAATCATTCTAGTGTGAGCACTCTAGCACTATTTTGTACTATTTAGTAATTAGTGTTTCACGGATTAATTGTTTGCACTCTATCAAATCTCTGGTATCTTATTTTCTGACAAACTCCCTAAGTGGTACCAATAGGTCATTTGCAACAAACAGTCAAGTGCCGATATATGACTTTTATAACGATCACTTCAGCCAAGTGTCTCTTGGGGTAAGCTCTATGAGTGGCAAACAAACTTCAAAATGCTTCGTATCTTGAAATTGAAAGTATCTTAAAAGGGAAAAAAGTATTTTGATAGAGGTTGGTTATTATGACATTTGTATTCCAGGAAACGTTATCTAAATATAGAAAGTCCGAATTTGTCTGCCCTCTACTAACACTCACTCCACTAACAGTCATATGCTTATTTCTTGCAAATCGCCCATACCCATATCTGGAACCCAAAGCATCCCCGTCTTGAAGTGTCTGCTCAAAAATCCCGTGCAAGCAGCCATACAATACAATTTATTGTTTTATATTTCAAAGTCTTCATTTCCCGCTGAGTAACGGGATTCTGTCATCTGACATTGTTGTGAAGATATTAGTTCTTAGAGCTACCCTCTTATTTGAGTACAAATAAAGTCCATGCATGTATGTGTATGACATGGCCATGATCATGCCATCAGGACTCTATAAACTAGCCTTGCTAAACTAGATGTGCCTATATAATATTGGCTTTTTAAAAAACTCTCCATAAACCTATAATTATTGGATTAAACATTTTWAAATTTCAGACGGAAAATGTTTCATTTCCATTTTAGTTGTACCCATGTTCGTGGATATTTACTGCTCACGAAGAAGCCAGACTTGACGGGTGCTACACACGTATGATCCGAAAGGTTCTTAACGTCACTGTCTTGGCAAGACTGTGTGCATAACGAGTTGCTGCATGGAAACCAACAGCCAATATCGCACAAAATATTTTTGAAGAGGCTGCAACTCGACAGTAACTGCGACACAGTGACATTGCGGCACACCACTTAGTTCTCTAAGAACCATGGCAGGGGCAAGCAACTCTTGGGAGGTCAAAAGCTAACTTTTATAAAATAGCTTAGGCATGACACTGTTCTGCAGACAACTGATTTGGGCGTGTATGAGACACAGACCAACGTGGCAAAAATAATTAAAATAAATCACTTTTATTTAAGTGTCTAGTCGTTCTAGTGCTCTCGCACTATTTGGAAGCACGGGTGGGGTGGCGGTGAGAGCGCTCGCCTCTCACCAATGCGACCTGGGTTCGGGTCCCGCTTAGCTCGGTGTTGTATGTGAGTAGGGTTGTTTGTTGGTTCTCTCCTGTGCTTTAAGGGTTTTCTGGGTTCCCCGGCTTTCCTCCCTCCGCAAAAATCAACTCCTAAATTCCAATTGGAATTACAGTGGATGAATAGCTACTTTGTAGAAATGCCACTGTTAAATCCCATTTATTTTCTTATTTTCATTATTTCACTTTTCGCTCACTCACACTACCACTACATTCAATGTTCTATGCACACGACGCTCAACTCATATGTTGATTTTTACGGAGGGAGGAAACTGGAGAACCCGGAGAAAACTCTCGTAGCATAGGAGAGAACAACACATCAAACACAAGGGCGGATCCAGGGTTTTTTGAAGGGGGGTCTCAGGGGTAAATTTTGTGGGCAAAGGAATCCCAGTCGCATTTTTACCACAGGAAACCCATTTGACCTCAGAAATGACAGGGGGGTCGCAATCCCCCCTGGATCCGCCCTTGAAACAAGCTCAATTCACATGTGGCGACCGCATGGCTCCAACCCGACCCGTCGGTTTTACAGCGGTGAAAGACGACGCGTTAGCCGCGTACGCCACCCATCACCCAACATGTCTCCCGAGGAGACTTGACATGATGATATTCATGTGTCTTCTCAAGCCGATCAAACAAAGAAATGATACATTAGATCATTACAAGTGGTCTGAAATAGGAAAAAAGTAACGCCCGAAGCAAAGAGGTCTATTCAAAAGCATGACACTTCAAACGATTGAATTCTTTCTGGCTGACAGCACATGGTGGTCAGTGTCTGACTACCTTTTGGAGCAAATTCTTGATTTATAGCCTTTTATCTGTTGATTGAAACCCAGCAATAGCAACCACTACAACCAAGATGATTGGGTATCTCGAGCACCAATAAATGCATAGGTGTTTATATGGTAAATAAATATAGCATGGGTATTTTTGATGAGATCGATGAACTTCAAGTGGTGTGTGAAATCACAGATACGGTATGCTATCTTTCTGCTTCGTAGTTCCCTTTCAGCCATTTCTCTATCGTATCTCTCATCACAGCAATAACTTGTCTCGGGTTGTCACTTTTTACTACTGCACTTCCAGAAACAATCATATTTGCACCAGCCTAAAAATGAGAACCATAAGGAAATAAGGAAACAGAAAAATGCTTGCATGTAGGTTGTGCAGTAGTTCCTGTCACATTCCCTGTGCCATCTTAAAAGGTAGCTTGATGAGCTTGCAAAGATAGATACCCTTTTTTAACACCTTGGACAATTACTGTATTCACATGTTGGTATCAAGCAATCTCACCATTCATCTCGCTTCGATGCAAAAGCACGGCTACCTTTTAAGATGGCACAGGGAATTGTGAAGAGGATTATTTTAAAGTAGAAGAGAAGTGTTAGAAGAAGCAGAAGTTTCAAATAGAAGGTGGCTACAGGCAATAGTCCAGTTTTGAGTTCCAAATTACCGCTGTGTTTCTTGATTACTGACTCATTTACTCAGGCTTAGCCTCGAATCAGTGTCTAAATATTCACAAATACCAACGGTAAAGTAAAGAATGCACAACTCCAACAATACAAACACTTTGAAACTTGACGGACCTTGACTGGAACACATGAATATTCTTCACGAAATCGAGGCTAAGCCTGAATAAATGAGTCTGTAATCAAGAAACACAGCGGTAATTTGGAACTCAAAAAGGGTCTATTGATTGCCGGGTCTTTACCAACCACTTCCGGCTACGTCACGATCAAAAAATCATATTAATCTAGTTCAAAACAAAGCTGACTATTTTTTCGAGAGAGCCTCCTACGTGTCCTTAAAAAATTACTAAATCCTCTGAATGTAGCAATCAGAACCAAGATTTATACCAGTTATCATTACAGTGCAACTATGCCTACCTAGGCCACCAAAACTTCACTCAAATTAGCCAATCACAATCGAGTATTTAGCTTGTAGAATCTGCACAAATTTCCACATTTTCCCCAATGAAGTCGCACTGCATGAAACAATGGGTAGTTCCAGAAAATATAAAATAGCGATGTATACTGGCAGCATTGATTTTCTTACCCCCCCCCCCCCTCCTCTCTGCTTTCGGAAATTCCAAAATGCCATTCCAAAGCCCCTGGCCCAAAGAATTCCATACACAAACCTTGCCAACTGCTTCAATGGTAGATAGTCCAACACCCCCATCAACCTCTATGTCCAACTCTCTGTATTTGTGTCTAAGAACTTCCACCTAAGAGTAAAGGAATGGAATAGACCTCAGTCTTACTGATAAATGCTTTTTAGATTTCAACTCAACTCAACGCAACTTATTTTCACATAATAAATTTACAATTAATGATAGTTTTACAAAATAAACCACTATTACATTTACATATTACAAAGTAATTATTATTATTATCTTACAATACTTTTAAATTATGCCTAGAACCTAATTAAACTGTGTAGTTTTCTGTAGTTTTCTAGTTAGGCTCTATAATCATTGGATTAAACGTTTTGCTAATGGCAACGACACAGTAATTTAATAAGTATATAATTGTGTAGAAAATATAAGAATGGAATTGATGGAATAAAGAAACGATGAAGAAACAATGAAGATGGAGAAAAAATGATAACAACATTAATTGTAGGACACAAAGTAAATAAATAGAAATAATAAATTATAAAATCTTAAAAATCTTAAAAATACATGCAGCATTTAGTACCTTGGGCATCATGTCGGCCATGAATGATTGTCCTCCAAATCCAGGTTCAACGGTCATGATTAACACCATGTCAACATGTTCGGCATATGGTAACACTTGTTCTACTGGAGTACCAGGTTTGATTCCTATACCAACCTGCAATAAAGTTATATTTAGTCAAACTAGTCAGTCAAAGATAAAACAAGTTTTGAATTAAGCTAGTTACTAGTAAATTTAATATTTTGCTTTTCAAAGCCAGCGCTTTTCTTTGATAGTAGCATACACATACGTATATCAAGGGCGGATCCAGGGGGAGGGTCGGGGGGGTCGCGACCCCCCTGTCATTCCTGAGATCAAATGGGCTTCCTGTGGTAAAAATGCGACTGGGATTCCTTTGCCCACAAAATTTACCCCTGAGACCCCCCCTTCAAAAAATTCTGGATCCGCCCTTGTATATAACTTATAGCCTAGTAGTAGCTCATCCAATCAGAACACAGCATTGACAATAGACCACAAGTTGGTTTTGACTAAACAGTAAATAGCAGTAGCTGCTATGCACAGTAGGTTCAATCATACCTTATATTCAGAAAAAGCAGTTTCATTTGCTTCAAACATTATTATCAACGCTTTTTCTTTAACCACAAGTAAAATTTTGCTCTTTCTGATTGGTCAAGAGCCATGGTAAAGAGGCAACGCGAGCTTAAAACCATTTGTCTTTCAAATTTTCCCCTCATTTTTGTAGTAATTTTTGTAGTAATGCTGACCAACCGTTGACATCATATTATGGTAAATATGAGAATAGACCATGCTAAACCCAGGGGTGCATCCATGAATTTGTTCAGGGAGGGGTGCACTGCACAAAGTTAAGCCAGGGAGGGGTGCACCCCATTAGAATCAAAGGGAAAAAACAATATTTTGCATTGGTTATCTTCAAAGTAGGGGCACAGAGTTGAACCAGGGAGGGGTGCGCACCCCCAGCACCCCTCCCTTGGATCTGCCACTGAAACCATTTAGAAATTTGTTCATTTTACCTTCATCCCAGCTGCCTTGATTTGTTGGATAAGCTCCATTGGTTTCTCTGAATACAAATTGATATAAAAAAAGACCTTGGATTTTAATGTATCTACTAGAATAATAGACGACATACAGGTAAACCAGTATAGGGAAGCACGGGTGGCGTAGCGGTGTGAGCGCTTGCCTCTCATCAATGTGACATGAGTTCGAGTCCCGCCGGGTTCGGTGTTGTATATGAGTAGAGTTGTTTGTTGGTTCTCTCCTGTGCTTCGAGGGTTTTCCGGGTTCTCCGGTTTTCCTCCCTCCACAAACATCAACTCCTAAATTCCAATTCGATCACTGAATGAGGGTCACAGGTTTGTTAGCCACTTGCTATTAAGTGCTACCCTCGTGAAAAAAGGACGTTTTTTTTATAGTAGTGAGCTACAGTGTGTCGTGGCAATTGGGGTTACATAAGTTCAACCAGGAAGTACAAAAACATAGTGGGACATTCATCAAGAAGGGAGATTCATTACCTGTCGCTTCTAAATGAAAAGTGTACTGATCAGCACCAGCATCTGCCATATCTTGTACCCACTATATACCAAGGAAATTATAATTTTATTATGTACCAGTAAGTAAATAATGCACATTTAAGCAATGCAATCCAGGTACCACAGAGGGGAGGGGCTGGTAGGGCTATTATTAGCCCAAATCTTTTTTGGTTGCCAATGGGTTGATTTTTTTTGAATTTTACTACTTAAAAGGAAACCCTTAAAAGTAACGAAATGTGTCTACTCTTGAATACTCTTGGCCAGGTTTTTTAGTCCTAGCATTTTTATGGTCTCCACAGTCCCTGCTATAGTGCAGTATGCAGATTCTAAAAATAGTTTTTTAAAAACTCAGAAAAACATAGCAATCCATTTTGTAACATTGCTGAGTGCTAGAACTTATTTTATAATTTTTACTTAAAGTTAGAATAACAAACAAGATCTACTACAATTGACTATGAAAATTATTTGCTGAAAGTAAAGCATAAGTTTGTTTGTCTGAGTCTTGTCTTTGTTTTCATTTTAATGACATCATCTATGCACCATGCTTTTGGATAGCTAGTAATCTTGTGTTTGATTGGTTAAGATTGCTAACCACTACTGCATAATAATATTGAAATATAAATTTGAAAAGGAAATACCTGTTCAGGTTTAGCAACCATCATGTGCATATCTAGAAATAAAATAGAGTTACTGACAAACTAGTTATCAATGAAATGTTCTTGTAAATGAGAGAAGCACAGGTCCTCTAACAAGTCTGGTACGGGAGGTCCAACGACTAATAAAAACAGTAAACAATGTTTCACAAAATTGTAAATTACACCTCAATGAAAAATTTTAAAATATTGATATTTTAGAATAATTGCGAACATGTACTTAACAAATTTACGATGGCTTAGCGTGTTATGTCTTGCTAAACCATCGTAAATTTGTTTTTTACTACAAAACTCACAAAACTCTAGGAAATAGACTGCACGAAATCTTGCATGACGCCATTTGTTGGTATGGCCTCTTATTTACGATGTTTTTTAACCAATCAGCGCGCGAGAAAATTCTCAATTGTGGTAAAAAAACATCTTTAACAAAAATTGTATGGTGTTATTACATTTATGGCTTGATTACCATCAGTCTTCACTTGTCACGACATGCAATCTTAATTTTGAATGATTCCAATATCACAGAATAAAACCCCATGATCAAGTTTTACGCACAACTCTCTCTCGCATCTTCTCTAATAATTATGTCTGATATAAGTGTCTATTATTGGACAACCCTCAAGTCCTGCATATGTACGTGTCAAGTTACATAAAGACCTGAAAATGTTAGACCCATGTTAAGGGGCGGCACAGTGGTGGGAGAAGAGGGGTAGTGGAAAGCTAGTTACACCATGTTTCAATTTCCCCTCCCCTCCTGTCACACCCCCTATTGATGGATTGCAAGCATTCCCAAGAGAGTCAAAAGACAAAAGCATGGTGGCCATTGTGGTGCCGTTCACAATGGGTGCTAATGAGAAATCTTTTGTTAAATGGCACCAACATGGCCGCGATGACGTAACGTGCAATCGAAGAATTGTATACTATAGAACTTGCCCAACCGTCCCCTCTGTACCTACGTAGTTGAAACAAGTGTCCTTCAACTCCTGAGTTCAAATGTCCCATACCAACACAATAACCTTGAGGAAATTAAAACGAAGATCAATACCTACCAAAGAAAGCATTAGGGATCTTTTTTCTCAAGCATTTCACCACTGGAGCACCAAACGTCAGATTTGGAACAAAGTGTCTGAGAAGAGAAGCACAAAAATATTATGATCCGTTCAAAGGTTTTACGAGGGATAATGGCGAAATACTTACCCATCCATCACATCTAGATGCAAGTAGTCGGCGCCACATTGCAGAAATTTATGGCATTCATCAGCCAGACACGATAAATCCGCGTTCAGAATGGAAGGACCGATCTTACACGAACAACCACATGGCGCCGCCATCTTGAGTAAAATTAATGACGATATAGGGGAGGGGTTGGGAGTAAGTTGTCCAAACTACAGGAAGCCCAAATGTTAGTTTTTCAAAGCGTGAATGAAGATGTCAGGGCGGATATTTTGTGAAAGGCCAAGGGAGGCCGGTGTTGGGTTTCAGCTTACACGTAAAAATGGTGTACCAAATGGTGTCTCAAATTGACTGAAATGAAATTGAAAGCTTCAAGTAAATTTAGTGAAAGTTTTAGACAGAGAATTTTTGGGGGGGTTGTTAAAATGGATAATCATCCCTTACAACAACGACGATGATTTGACACCCTTTTTATTTAGCCCGTGTTGCATTTGGACTAAACTATTTTGAGGATTGTTGTGCTCTACACGTCAAGTTCCCAGTCAAACTACCAAAAGCATAACACACAATACAATTTTTTCTCAGATTTATTGAGCTTCTTCTTCTTCTAGCTAAATAAATACCACAGATTTGTCTTAGTTTTGGACATATTTTATTTGTTATTTTGATCATTCCCAAGAGAATGAATTAACCAGACATGGCGGCCATGTTGGTGGACATGACAAGAGAGACGAATGACTAATCTTTTGTTTGATTCAACCAACATGGCGGCTATGAAAACCACCAATAGACCTTTATCACACGGCAGCCATGTTTATTCTCATGAGAATAAAAAACCTTTGTTTCCCCAGCATAAATTAATTCTCAAACGCTTGAATTTGAGGCTACGCGTGATGGAATCTATTGTTCAATCCAACATGGCTGCCGCGTGAATAAGGCCCATTATAGGGAAAACCAACTAGCAAGAAAGTAAGAGGTTGTTTATAAACACATCCATCTCAATATTTGGACGTTTTCTCTTAATTATTACTAGTATAGATGTTACACATCGGTTAGTTTATAGGCTGTGGACTATAGACCATATGAAAAAGGGTGTGCCCCTTGAGATACCTTAGTTCATCAGCTATAGAACACAACAATGCTTTCATTAGAAAGGGTATTTCCAAATTAGTGATCTTCAGCTGTTTGAAATTAGAAAGGTTTGTATGGAAGCAGCAACTACGGGCCTACCAGCCTCGCTATCATGTTCTCGGTACTTTTCAAATGCTTATAACTCTTCAGGGATTTAATATATGACAACACAACTCTCCGAAATTACTAATTTAGACATGGTCTTTCCTGTAATGAAAATTATTTTTGAAATCATTAATTGTTCATGTTAGTGGTGTTCGTTCCCAGTCTTACACTCGTTTTTCATAAGGTCTATATTCTATCACCTTTACCCATATTTATCATTTCATTCAATTCCCAGTCAATTCAATACATAAATCTATAATACAATTACAACCTTGAAGGATAGCATTAAGATAAAAAACATGGTCCTAATAATATCCCACGTCAAAGGATTCCTCTCTCAACTAAACTTCAGATGCCATCTAATGATTGCTTAGGAGAATGGCATCTTCGAAGGTGACATTCGAGGTGATCCGATAGTCTCACTGAAAGACGATGCATTGGCTTGGATATCCATCAAGGTATGCTGTAGACGACTCCATTCATCTGGACGAGGTACAGCAAGTTGCTATTCGCACAAAAAGAAGAAAGACATCAGTTTTAGAAACTGTAAAAGATTTGGCCTGGATGTAAGGAAAAAGGCCTTTTTCTCATTTGGTAAATACCGCCATTACCATTTGGTAAGTAATTCTTGACTAGAGTTTACTTATGCTCTACAGCTCCAAACATGTTTATGTCACAGCACAGAGACATGCACACATGTTTTATATTCCTTAAATATATATAGTATATACTTATTTCAATAAAGTTAGTCAACAAAAACCTAGAAAGCTGAGATCGCTGAGAATCATGGGAAATATTACATATTCAACAACTAAAGCTTTTGACACAAACTGCAGCAGTTGAGGATGCTCAGAGGAGGTTAACTTGTAACTGGTAGAGGATCTCAAGTCCATCAACAGTTATCAAGCGGTTAAAACATGTAAAATGTATCTACCCATAATCCTTGCCGGTCTCAGCTTTGTAGCTTTTCAGGTGACTAACTCTATTAAACAAGTGTATATGTTTAATTTTTGAAAAGCACATTCTTACTCAAAGAGTAAAAATGGACCATCCCATGAGAAGATATTACTACAGGCGTGTTACTTCTCTCATGCTCTACAGCACCCAAGATGTTTATATCACAGTAAAAAGACATGCGCGGATGCTATATATAAACATATACTGTACAAGTTTTTTTTTAAATTGTGCACCCTTTCTCGATCTTGTGAGAAGATATTTCTACAGGTGAATTTATGTTTTTTTTAGAACTATATAATATTTTGACCCACCTCTCCCACATCGAATATGTGAACTCTGCCATCATCATCACCAGCTGCTATCTGGTGACCCGAGTGTGTCCATTTTACACGGTTGAGGGATGTCATAGACTCTGTTGTAGTACTGGTTATTGGGACCTGCAAGAGAAGTAGAAGGTTAATGTCAGGATTACCACCTCCTTGTTACCGTTATTACCAACATCGTCATCACCAGTCATCAATACCA